TAGCCGCAGGTTCTATGCTGACAGTTCACTTTCTCAAACTTCTCGTTTGTGGAACTACATTCTGGCTCAATACTTTCCAGTCAACATTAATCTGCAAAAATTTAAATGCAATGTCGATCGCTATCTACTGTCCTCCTGATTATTCTTTTCTCTTTCTGTTCATCATTATTAATGTTACTGTTCCTAATTCTTCCACATCCTGTAACTCCTTGTGTCTTAGTGGCTTTATTGCCTTATATGGGGTGATACTGATTAAAAAGAAGAAAGATAGATAGATGCTTTTAAATGCAATGTCAATCTCTATCTACTGTCCTCCTAATTATCCTTTCCTCTTCCTGCTCATTATTAATGTTTCTGTTCTTAATTCTTCCACATCCTGTAACTCCTTGTGTCTTAGTGGCTTTATTGCCTTATATGGGGTGATACTGATTAAAAAGAAGAAAGATAGATAGAGGCTTTTAAATGCAATGTCAATCTCTATCTACTGTCCTACTAATTATCCTTTCCTCTTCCTGCTCATTATTAATGTTTCTGTTCCTAATTCTTACATCCTGTAACCCCTTGTGTCTTAGTGGCTTTATTGCCTTACATGGGATGATATTGATTTATATATATATATATATATATATATATATATATATATATATATATATATATAAACGTTAAAATATAGGTAATGATTGAGAAATGTATGTGTGTCTATGTAATTTATGTATGAAGATGGATGAACTTTTGTGTATATTGTTGTACGTGTGTCTATGTGTGTATTTGCACATGTAAATGGACGTATGTATATGTGGATTTGCATGAATATGTTTTTGTGAGATACATATAAGAAGAAAACTAAATCTTTAATACCCTCAAATATTATTAAATAATGAAACCTAAACCTTAATTAAGTTTACCCATATAATAATAAAGAAAAATTGCATTCATAAATTAGATTTAAAGTAAAACTAATATAGATGTTATTGTTACCAAATTTTTTTACAATATTATGGAAAGTACAATTGGTCGGGTAAATAAACTATTATAATTTTAAATATTTCTTTAATATGTTCTCGATAAATGTGCTAATAAAAATAGTAGTTAACTTATATTAAGTCCCTAAACTATTTACTTAAAAAACTAAATGTTTAAATTGATAACATTCATCATTTTTTTTAGACATCTAAATTTCTATCAAGCATTGAAATCTATCTTTTACATAATTTTGTTAAAACAAAATTACAGCCTTTTCGATTCACTTCCCTCTCCCCCTCTCTCTTTGCCGTAACACTCTTTTAGATATATCTGTATTACTGTTGTCTGTCTCCTCTCTCCTTTCCATTTTTCCTTTTCTTTTCCCCCAACTACCCTCCCATTCCTATATATCATTTCCGTTAAGTTAAACATCTAAATAGGTCACGAAAATATACTTAAGAGAAATATGAAATTAACCCCTCCCTATATTCTACATTGTCTCGTTAACTACAACTATCACCCTCCCTGTTAAATTACAAAAATTACATTACCCATCAATTTCTAATCCCATTTTCCCTTTCATTTCGTTGTTGGAAGTGTTACCTGATGATCCGGAGTCCTTCAAAAAGGGTTTTAGGGATATAAATTATTGTAATGGTACCTTAAAGTGGCCTGTTTTTTCATTTAATTATATATATATATATATATATATATATATATATATATATATATATATATATATATATAGTGGCGGGAGTAAGGAGAAGCAGGTGTGCCCTGGGCCCTACGCCCTTGGCGGCACTTTATGGGGTGGCATTTTGTGGGTGAAAGAAAATTGAAGACGCAATAATTCATTCATGCTGTTTCAAAAAAGAAATGTAATACTTTGTTTTTTAATTCAATTTTTTTTCAAATCCATTCCTTTTTCTTTAGAAGATCACGAAAACACGCAGCCCGTGCATATTACAAGATTAACTTTTATATTAATATTACTAAGGAAGAATCTTAAGTTTGTAAAATAAAAGAGGTAGGTTAAGATTATTTTGACGTAAACTTTTTTAAAAATATTACACTTTAAATACTTCCGAAACGATTTTTAAAATATTTTTTAATATTCATTTAAGATCAACTATAGAATCTCCAGTCCAACTCAACTGTAGACTCCTCGCAAGCACGTCTAGGCGGGGGAGACTAATCGAGTAGCAGAAACATAAAAAGATTAAAGATTTGTTTCTCTAAAAAAAAAAACAATTTTAAGTCAGAAGTGTAATTATTTAATATAGATTTTTAATGTCTATTGCTTTAAAAACTTTTTTTATGCATGGATACCTTTCCGACTATCAAGCGATACGCTCCGCCAGATTTACTAGCCCGAGATAAGCTTATGCATGGATACCTTTCCGACTATCAAGCGATTAAAAGTCGGAAAGTATTCATGGATAAGCTTATCTCGGGCTAGTAAACCTGTCGGAGCGTATCGCTTGATAGTTGAAAATGTATTCATACATAAGCTTATCTCGGGCTAGTAAATCTGGCG